TTGTAATTCTAGCTGCAGTCTAGGTTACAAAAGATATCAATTAAATTATTCAAACACAAATTAAACGACATTCATGCAATTAAACCGACAAGAATCTAGCCATCAATCATGATTAACCCCTTCATCAACCCCAAATCCCTAATTAAACTACTCACGCCTCATAATTGACGAATCAAAAGAATTTGGATGAATAGAAATAATTGTCATTAATTAAAGAATTGAACTTACAAAGAATCCCAGGTTCTTGGATTAAACAACGTAAAAACGCAGGTAAAACTCGTCCCTAGGCCTCTCTCCAAAGTTCGTAACCCCAAAAGTGGGTATGGAGGCCTTATTTATAGAAAACAGGAGAATTTGAGCTGAATTAGGACAAAACGGGGGTCAGGCACGGTGCCAGGCACGATCGTGCCTGCGACCGTGCCTGCGAAAGGGACGCGTAAAAATTTTGCAGACACGATCGTGCCTGCACCGGACACGATCGTGTCTGGCTGCCAGTGGCTCCGCGTTTGATTAAGATGGCAGGCACGATCGTGCCTGACCTAGGCACGGCCGTGCCTGCCCTTTTCTTCACCATTTTTCTTCGTTTCTCGTTCCGAATGCTCCCGAATGCCTACGACGTCGATCCAAATGCTCTTTCTTCACCAGAATTTCGTCGTGAATCTCCCGGTGGCCTCCAAATCTTCCAAATCTCTCTCGAATGTCTTCAAACCCTTCCCGAATGCCTCTCAAGCGCCGATTGCCGGACTCTAACTTCTTCAAATCAACTCCAAATGCTATGAAACTCGATCCAACGCCTGTTAAACACAACTTGAGCCAAAATTGAGACTTGCAACGCCTTAAAGCCAGGAAAATCATCAAAATCCGACCTGAACACGCATCAAATGCGTGTCTAAATACGGACTTATCATGTGTCATGCTAAACCTTTTGCTGATTCTGTGAATGTTGTATGTTCTGATAAGACCTATTTGTGGCATAATAGGCTAGGACATATGAGCAATAAGGGTTTAGATGTCATGCGTAGGGCTGGTTATTTTGGTAAGGACTCTGTGACTTCTGTGCCTTTCTGTGAATCATGTGTGTTAGGCAAGCAGCATAGAGTCAGCTTCCCTCCTTCCTCTTACCCACGGGGGTAAGAAATATTTCATTTCTATTATTAATGACTTTTCTAGGAAGGTGTGGGTTTGCCTTTTAGAACACAAGTCTAATGTGTTTGTGAGGTTTAGGGAGTGGAAAACCCTAGTTGAAAACCAAACTGGCAGGAAGGTTAAAACCCTTAGGACTGATAACGGGTTAGAGTTCTGTAATAAGGAGACGGATAAGCTGTGCGTGGATTGTGGGATAAAAAGGCACAAAACTGTGCCTTATACTCCCCAACAGAATGGTATAGCAGAGAGAATGAATAAGTCTATGTTGGATAAGGTTAGAAGCATGTTAGCTACCTCTGGTTTGTCTAAGAAATTCTGGGGTGAAGCAGTTACTACTCCTGCCTATTTGGTTAATAGGTCCCCGTCTGTCCTTCTTGGTGGTAAGTGTCCTGAAGCCGCCTTTACCGGTAAGCCTCTTGATCTGTCTAACCTTCAGGTGTTTGGTTATGCAGCGTATGCACATCAACAGGTTGACAAGTTGGATCCTAGGTCTATGAAATGTGTCTTCCTAGGTTATCCAGAGGGGGTAAAGGGTTACAGGTTATGGGATAGGAACCAGGTAGGTTTTAAGGTGGTCCTTAGCAAAAATGTGGTGTTTAATGAAACTGATTTTCCTTGCTTGACCGAGTCTGTTTCTAATCCTGAGTCTAGGTCTGATAGTACTCCTATTGAGGTGGAGTATGTCCCTGTTGCTGCTAGTCCTTTATCTGTTGATCCTGTTATTACCGATGATATTGTTATGCATGATTCTGATTCCTCCGAGCATGATAGTCCCACCACCTCGAGTGAGCTGGAGCATTTGCATGATAATGAGCATGATTTGCATGATATGAGTGTTGAATTTGATTTTCATGATAACAATAATTTGCATGAGTTGCATGTGGAGCCTAGTAGTGATAATTTGCATGATTATCAACTTGCTAGAGATAGGAGTAGAAGGGCCATCAGGAGAACTGCTGATAGTATGCCTGATTATGCTTTCATTGTGCATGATACTTCTATGTTTGCATTTTCTGTGTTTGAATCCCTAGAACTGAATGAACCCAAGACCTACCGTGAAGCCTTAGGTTCTAAAGAGTCTCACAAATGGATTAGTGCCATGAAAAGTGAGATGGACTCTTTGAGAGTGAACCAGACTTGGACCCTTGTACCTAGACCCCCCAACTGTTCGATAGTTGAGTGTAAGTGGTTATTTAAGGTTAAGGAAGAACCTAGTGATGTTAGGTTTAAGGCTAGGTTGGTTGCGAAAGGGTTTACTCAAAAAGAGGGGGTATATTATGCAGAAATCTTTGCTCCTGTTGTTAAATTCACCACTATTCGTATGATGCTTGCTTTAGTTGCTCACCATGACTGGGAAATGAAACAAATGGATGTAACTACTGCATTTTTGCATGGTGAATTGGACAAAACAATTTATATGACCCAGCCTGAGGGCTTTGTGGATCCCAAGAGAAGTGAGCATGTCAGTTTCCTTAGGAAGGCATTGTATGGCCTAAAGCAATGCCCTATGCAGTGGCACATCAAATTTGATAAATGCATGATATCTTTAAAGTTCCAAAGATCTGTTTGTAATCATTGCCTGTATTTCAAGAATACTTCTTCTGTGCCTGTATTTTTTGTTACTCTATGTGGATGACATGCTGAAAATTAGTCCTTCTATGAATGCTATTAAAGATGTGCAAAAGTGCCTTTGTGCGAATTTTGCCATGAAAGACCTAGGTGATGCCAAGAGGATCCTAGGCATAAACATTGTTAGGGATAGGGGTAAGCGTACTCTCACTTTGAATCAGATTTCTTACATAGAAAAAGTTTTGAGTAAATTCAATATGTTATCTGCTTCTCCTGTTAATGTCCTTATGGCATCTCACTTTGTGTTAAGTAAGGACCAGTCTCCCAAGACTGCTCCTGAAATTGAGAAAATGAAATATGTGCCCTATTCCAGCGCAATAGGGTCGGTTATGTATCTTATGGTTAGCACTAGACCTGATATTGCATATGCGGTTAGTTGCTTGAGTAGATATATGTCCAACCCCGATTTGCCTCATTGGAATGCTCTTAAGTGGTTGCTTATATATTTGATATCTACTGTGAAGCATGAATTAATTTTCTCTAAATGTGCTAGTGGTATTGAATTGATTGGTTATATTGATTCTAACTATGCAAATGATAGAGATAACAGGAAGTCGACCACTTCTTGTGTTTTTACTTTGTGTGGCTCTTGCATTAGTTGGAAGTCTCAACTGCAGCTTATTGTGGCCCTTTCTACCACTGAGTCCGAGTATGTTGCAGCCACAGAAGCGTTTAAGGAAGCCATCTGACTCAAACGCCTTGTCTCCGAAATTGGGTTTCTCAAACAGGGAGTTACCGTTTTCTCGGATAGCCAATCGGCTATCCAACTTTGCAAAAATCCTGTATTTCATGATAGAACTAAGCATATTGATGTTAGGTTCCATTTCATACGTGATATTGTTGATGCAGGCGGAGTCAAGCTGTGCAAGATCCCGTCCGAGTTTAATCTCGCGGATATGGGTACCAAGTGTCTTTCTGCTGAGAAGCACTTGTCCTGTAAACGCGTGTTAAACTTTGACTGCGGAGAACTGTGGGTTGCCTAATAAAGTGATTGCCCGTTTTGTCTTTTGATATTCCGGGTGACCCGAAAATGATGAGTCTCCTCACAACCTGTTTTGCTACTCTACACCACTTAGGACCAATAAGGTGGAGAATGTTGGAGGTATTGGTCTTACCAAGGCCTCCCTTCCACTTTATTAATTAGGCTTGCACCCCATGTTTACTCCCACTTTGATTCCCAGAGTTGAAATCACTTATTATGGCCTGTTGACTTATCTGGAGTATGCCCCATTGCTTCTGTTCGTTGCCCCTATTAATTGATCCAAGATTGTCCTTGCTTGTTTGCTCATGACTTATCAATAGGCTGACAGCCTATTATAAAGTCCATACTTCTCCTTCTATGTGAGATAAGCCTGCGAGAAAAACTTCCCAGATAGTAGTGTCTTTCTTCTTTGTGTGAGAGTTCCTTTGTGGAGTGAAGAAGAGTGAGTAAACATGGGAGATGGGGTGACCTAGCCCTAGAGTGGTGTGTGTGAGTTTAGTATAGAAGGTTGGAGACCTGAGCCGGAGACGGAATACGATCCTTACACTAACACTTCCATTACCAACACCTTTCAACACTCCATCCAAACAGACCATTAGTGTCAAGTCTAGCTTTGATCACGAAATCATCTTAGACTTGAAGTTTTTTGCAAGGATTAAACACAACTCCAAGCTACTTAGTTCGTGGGTGTTAGAGAATTTCCAGTAGAGTGTTCAAAGCTACTACTCCCTCCGTCTCATTTAAATTTTTATACTTTCCTTTTTGGGACGATCCATTTAAATCTTTACGTTTCCTTTTTAGGCAAGTCCTTTTGCATTAAATGTCTTAACCACCCTTCACTACCCACACACTATTTACATTTGAGTGGATGACATTATCTCTCTCCAAAAGTCAACGGGCTTGCAAGACATTTTTTCTTCTATTAATTGAGCTACTAAAACACCGTGCTAAAAACAAACGTCAAGATTTATCCGAGACGGAGGGAGTAATTTCTATCTTCTATCCAAGATTTGATCACTCATAATGCTCATTTTCTATATTTTCCTCATCGATTTTATTTCATATTTTATTGACTTTTGGGTTAATTGCTTGTTAATTAATTAGATTTTCGATCCTATTAATTAATGGGTGCTACTCATTAGTTTTGTGTGTTTTCATCAGATTTTAGATATTGAGGATCATCTTGGCGTTGATGGAATCAAAGTCCGGGACCCACATGAGTAGCTCAACGAGTAAAACGATGAGAAAATTGGAGAATAATCAAGAATTGAAACTTTGTGGGATCGTATAGAGTTCACATCACATGTGAACTGGACTGAACCTCTTGTGCGCACGCACGATATAAGATTCACCACCATTAGAGTTGCTTTAGGCACTATGATTTACGTCCTCTCAAGTGCTCTTTCAAGTCGGGACCCGAGAATCTTTCTGATCCTCTCAAGTGCTCTTTCAAGTCGGGACCCGATAATCTTTCGGATTGGAGATTCAAATTAGAATGGAAGTGCGCGATCAAAAAAGTCAACCCAGGTCAAAATTGAGTTGACCAGCCAGTCGAGCCTCCCCATCGCATCTTTGTGATCTTCTTGTAAACAAGGACCAAACAAGAACTAACGCAGCAGGCAACAGCGCCGGAAATCCAAGGAGATATTCGTCCATGGAAGCCTCGTTACAGAGATATTCGTATGGACCAAGGAGAAGAAGTAGATCTTATCCACCGTCAATCACCATCGCCTAGCGCAGTCCCCATCGCCGACCGTGCCACCGCTGATACCCCTTCTCTACGGAGGTCGCCGCTTGCTTTCCATCGTTGACCAAACCGAGAAGAAGAAAATTAAAAACTCTCTCCAGATTGCGTTGCGGGCACTTGCGGGCAGTTGCGCTGTTTTAAGGCGATGAAATGACCCAAATACCCCCAACTTATTCTGTTCTCCGTATGATTTTCAGCCCAAATTTTAGTCTGCCTTGTGATCACAATAGAAGCAAGCCCGTCGTCCAAGGCCCATTTATATTTTTTCTCTTCCCGTTTTATTACTTTATTGATCTTTTCGTCGACAAATATAGGGCTTCAAACGGAATAGAATAAAAAGGTAGAGGGTAATAGTTTATTTAACATGACATAATAACATGGTACAATTAAGGCACGCACATAAATAAATAAAAATTAAACAAGAGTTATTGATACTTAGGAGGAATTAAAATAAGATACACTACGGTAATAATTAATGGATCATCAGTTGATGGTTGGGTTTTTCATGGACCAAGCAGTGAGTTTGGTGAGTTGAATGGGCTGGACACCGTTGTTGAATGCAAACAAGTGTCCCTTGTCACCAACAGCCTTTGTGGGATAAACCCTTGACGTAATGCACACCTTTCCTTTTGCACCAAAGCTCTCCACTATCGAATGGTCAATCTGCATTATATATGTATACATATATATTCAAATTGCGTAAAGAGTACATATATTCCACATATTCATTGCTAATATTGCTCATGTGTGTGTTCATATATTTAATTATGTGGAGTGTAAATCACTCGTCATTATGAAAAAATTAATAGCTAATTTCGAACTTCAATCTAATACTCTATGCATCTCACAAAACATAGCCAATTTGACCTTTTTGGTGTGAAACTTATACGGAGTAGCTTTATACTTCCTCTGATCCTAAGTAAGTACAACGTGTTGAATTTTACAGTACTCACTTGTTTTACTTTGACTATATTTTATTAAATTATTTTCAAAAAAATATGTTAAATTTGTCTCAATGTAATTTTCGAATTTTGATCTCTTTAATTTTCGTACTAATAGAGAATAATACGTAATACTTCGTATATATTAATGGTCAAAGTTGTGCAATGACAAACATGAAAAGTGTATGGTCGTTGCACTTATTTAAAAAGGAGGGAGTAAAGTTAGTCGAGTAGAATTTAGAATGTGCCTAAAATCTAAATTAAAGTAGAAATCTATGTTGTGTGTGATGAGCGATGCTAGACAAATTTAAGAACATAAATGGACATAAAACATTAAAACTCCGTAATGAGGGGGAATGTTGCAAAGTGATAGAGGGGAGGGAATCACCAATGCCCTGATTGATAACTCTTGCTGCACCGGATTTATATCCACAAATGCACCATAGCTTGTCTTGTCAGTGTTTTTATTTAGCGAAGATCTGACAAAGGCAAAGACATTCAACTAATTAATCAATTTTGCAGTTACATTAATTCATTCACATGCGATATCCCCTGTACACTCTTGTTTGTTTGGTCATCTTTGACTACTAATGATAAACTTTGATAAATCTTTTTAATTAATACGCAGTACATAGTATTCTTTGAAACTAAAAAGTTTTATTATTCTTCTATGATAATACTTTTTAAAAAAATCACATTTTTTTGTTCTCATATAGTGCCAATATTGAGATGTAGGTCTCGTGTTATCAAATACTCCATATGTAATATTACCCAATAATTGGGTTGTTGTAAATATAGCCCCGTTTCTTCGCCCACGTTGTAAATATCATCACTCAAACAACACATTTACAACAATTTAGAAAATTGAGAGCTGACATTTACAAAACTGGAAACATGAGAACTGCATTTTAATGTGTGTACTATTTGAGGAATTGGAATTGGGATTTCCCTTAATTTTAACAAAAAACATTTTACACGGGGGACTACCTGCTTTGATCGCTGCACATAAGCACGACAAAAGTATTGTTGTGTCCTCTGAAAACTCGAAAGAACACAGCAGTGTATTCTTGGCCATCCTTGGAAGCTAAAACCTTCAAGCCAAAAGGCCCTATTCCTCCTCTTATGGATGCTCCCTTCTGACTACATAAATCCTGAGGGTTTGTCCATCCGGGCTCCATCTTTTCTGCCTTTCTAAAATCTGATACTCGAAATGTTACTTCAACATCTGCCTGTGAACAATTAATTGGCATAAACTTTAATGAACTATAGATGATTATGTTCAACTATAAACTGTAATGAAAATGATGGTGCTTATAATTACTTTAATCTCGTTTTTTCTATAACTTATACAAAGTATATTTCAGTATTACTTTAAGAAGAACTTCAACTTAATACGGAGTAGGAGTATTATTTTTTAATTTTACAAATTAACTGCTAATAGCTAAAGGTAAAGCTAATATAATTTGATTTTAAAAGTCAAAACTGTATCTATATTATACTACCTTCTTCGCGGCCCAAATTGATTTGCAAAGTTGATTTTCCTTGATCAAACAATTTCATTTTATTTACTTAATTAGGATGTCATTTTAAAATTATATTCTAATTTGAAGGTTGGAACTTTGATGAGATTTTACTGTAGTTTTTGAATATATAAATTTTAATTATTAAAAATTGAGTTCATTAGCAATATGAGACATTTAACTTTAAGGGAGTGTTTGCAAGTGCTTCTGCTTAAAAAAAAAGCACTTTTGGAGTGATTGGGAAAAAGTGATAAGTAGTAAAAGTTGATAGTGTTTGAGAAAAAAGTGATTTTGAAAAGTAAAAGTTGGTAGTGTTTGGTAAAATAAGTGATTTTTGTGTAATAGAAAAGGGGAAAATACTTTTCACACGCAAGTCAAGAAAAAGCAAAAATTGGTAGTGTTTGGTAAATAAGTGCTTTTAAGCCAAAAGCTAAGAATTACTTTTTTTTTTCAAACTATTGCAAACACTCCCTAATATTGACTTAAAAAAATGTTGATTTTGCAAATCAATTTGCGACAAAGAATATAAGAATATGTAACACAAGAGTTGATAGTTGATGAAAATTTCATTTAATAATAATATAATGAATACTCAAAACTACATATTAATTACTTGTGTGGCTTTGATTCCAGAAACTTCAGTTTGAGAAGACCCTTGCTTGAGCAAAATACTATGCATCTCAACCCTATTCCCGCGCATTGTTTCGATTTCTTGAACAGGCCACTGAACCAGTTGTTTTCTAGTTTTGTCTAGCCAAACACTTCTTGGAATTCCCTGCAAGCATTCAATAATACATTGTAATAAAAATAATAATAATAATAATAATAATAATAATAATAATAATGATAGGAATAATTATAATACAGAGTAATGATTAAAATTGACTACAATAATTATTTAATACGAAGTACTAGCTACTCCAACACTTATTAAGAATTTAATTCAATCATAAATTATGTTATACGTGTGAAATAATTAAAACACGTGTGATTAGTAAAAGAGAAACTACTAGGATATACGAAGTATATTAATTAATTACCTGAACCCCTGACCATCCTTGTTTAACATATTCGGTGCTTGGCAAGGATTCATTTATCCAACCCCAAAGGATTCTCCTGCCCTTTAGGTTGTCATAGAAAGACTTTGAGGCGTAAAACTTACCATAGTCATATCTCAACCCAAAATCACTCTCCACAGATCCCTTGTCTGGGATATACCTATCCCGGGCATGATCGTATGTCCCGATGGTGTAGTATTCGTGCCTTGTGTCATCAAGGCTCACCTTCAACACATGTTTGATCCCCAAACCTAATGATGACGTGTCCAAGCCCGTTGGGCTAGTCGAAACCGGGTAAAAGTCTGGACACTCCCACATCCCTGTTCCTTCAGCTGAATGAAGGGGGTGTTTGGCCTGCACCCAATGAACAAAATCCTTACTCATGTACATGATTGCTAACCCGCGCCGGTCCACTTTACTGCCAATGAGGATTCTCCAATTGCCATCACTGCCTTGCCATGCGGTGGTGGGGTCCCTAAACGACGTCGCGTTGATCTTGTTGAAGCGCGTTGGCGCGATCAATGGGTTTCTGGGAGATTTGACCCATTCTTGGAGATATGGGTCAGATGGGTTTTTGGGCACCGCCATGTTTTGGACCTGGCGGTGTCTTGAATCGTGTCCGGTGTATAGCAAGGCAGGCTTACCTCCGGGGAGGATGGTAGCCGAGCCGGACCATGCACCGTTGATGTCAGCCGGTTGAGATGGAGATATTGCAGGGATATGAGCTCTCCAATTTACTAGGTCTTTTGAAGTGGAGTGTCCCCATGATATTTTGCCAAAGTCTGCACCTTTTGGGTTGTATTGATAGAATAAATGGTATACACCTTTGTAAACCATAGGCCCTATAGCGATCATCACCAATGTTAAATTAACATCACCAATCTATAAATAAAAATATAGAAATTTGGGGGATTTACAATTTTGTCGTGTAAGTTGGTTATGACCGTTATTAGTCTTACTGTGACTTTTCTCACTTGCAAATTTAGTTCAGTAACTACTACATCTTTGCAATTGAAGAACTTTTTCACTAAAAAGTACTTTAATTTTCGGCATCCGTTATTGGTGTCATCTTTTCCGTTATATTTTTGAGGGAAAATGTGTTTTTCGCAGGAAAGATCCTCAAATTACAAAAAAGTATTAATCATAATGCATATGATTCTAATAAACAACTTACCATTTGGATCTGTAATATTCATAATATAGGTACGATTTGTTATTCGTCATCGAGCGCCGCATCAATGCATCACATGAAAGAAATATAAAATTATTAGCGACAATGCATAAATGTAAGATCACGTTTAATTGGTTGCATGCAAAGGAAAGTACTGAGAGGCAAAGAGTTTGACTCCAACCCACCTATGCGGCTACATGCAAACAAAAGAACTACTGAACTATATATATAGGCACTTTTTTCAAGTTTACATTGATAGGAAACATAGTGATAGAGAACTAAACTAAAATTAAAAGCATGAATTATAAAATACACTTCTAAATAATTACTTCTTCCTTTCAATCTTGTTTTTTAAAGATTGAACGAAGATGAATTAAATTTTAATATATTGGAGACTATGCTAAAATGTATGTGGTCATAAAAAAAATTAGAATATCTTTGGAAGGGATTTTGCACATGAATAATTATAATACACAGGGATTGGACATATTATAATACACTTAGCCAAATTTATATGAAGTATATCAAAAGAGGGTTCGGTGCATTATACCCCAAAGATGCATATGAATTTCGTATTGGTCAAAACATGAACATTTTTTGGGCAAAGCTTCTAAGTTACACTATAGTATCCAATGCTAATTATCTCTTTGAGTGGGAAGGAAGACTAGATGGGCTCGAACATGTGACATCTTGTCACTTTAGGAGGGAATAAATCAACAATGATGACACTAGATCACTGAGTTTGGCGTCCAAACATGAACTTGAAAATAGAAACGAGTTGTGTGTATAATTTATTAAATTCAACAATGTGTGAATTTGGGTGGCTAGGTATGTATAGTAGGAGATTAAAATGCACTACAAAAAAATCATGGGATTGACACGGATTTGGCACGGATTTACCAATCCCCCGATGATTTCGTACCAAATAGCTCGTGTCAAACTGTTTTTAGCACAGATTTGATATATCCCTGCCAATTTTGAGAAATCTCGGCAAAAAATTCTTGTCAATCCCGCGTTTTTTTTTGTAGTAATAGAGTGATATATACTATACCGTTCATCCAGTTCTTAGGAGGCTGAAAATGAAAAGAGGTCCTATAAGTTTGGTTGGGAAAAGCTGGCTGAAGAGCTTCAAGGTTTTGCAAGACAATGTGGGAGCCTTGGACTTCAACAACTCCCAACACAAACATGAAGCAAAACATGCAAGGCAACAAGAATCCCATCTTCATCCTCAAGTATATATATGTTTAATCCGTTAATTAAAACAATAACTACGGATTAAGTGATGGATTAGAGTTAGCTAGCTCTGATCCTAGCTAAGTAAGTAATAGATGAGAAGGCATGAAGTTGGCGCCCTATTTATAGCGAGTCCATGCAAGTAAAGCCTGCCCCGGGGCCCAAGCAAATTGGAACTCACAACTTATCAACTTGATCTTTGATCATTATTACATCTCATTTTGACTTGTCAAGGTTTTCCGAATCCATGTCAACGTATATATATGTCAACGTATATATATCAACGTATGTATATAGTATGTATACATATATTTTATTTAATGAAGCATATATAATTTCATGTATATGAAAAGGTACATTGAATTGTAAAAACTTTCATAAAAATTGCAGCATTATTTCATACTCCGCACTAGGTACGATTTTTGAAATAAAATTAATGTTCAAAAGTGAAAATGAAAAGATGCTAGTAGTAATGAATGGGAAGAGATGTTTGTAGTATTAAGGTAGGATAAATATACTACGAAGTAAGTGAATATAAAGATTGTTCTACTAAAATTATTATGGAGTACTATATAAAATTTATAAATAAAAATGTGACTAAGGGTATATTTTAGGTATATTTTCATAGTCAGTAACATATACGATTAAATATGATTGTAGTCGCTGAAAAGAATTAAGTCACTTTTTTATACAGGATCTTATTTTATTCCTATATTAGGAATTATTTCAAATATAAAGGATATAGAGTATATATATCCTTACAAGTACAATAATTTAAAATATGGAGTAAAAATTACGTAGTGTATATTACCTACATTAAGTAATTTTTTAGGTAAGATATCGTATTGGACTGAAAAATATAATTCGATTTCATTTTTACCAAAAGAGATTACAAGAGGAATATATAATGATTTTCCACATTCCCAAATATTGAAAATAGCATATCCTGCTTAGCCTAGATGGGTCCAGGACCGCTGGACCGGATCTCAGTGCAACTAATACTTACTCCGTACATACCAATAACAAAAATGCGAATATTGCTATTATTACAACTTCAATTGGAATGGCCAACTTAAAAAGACCAACTTGCTTGATAATAAAATTTCAAATGTCGTGTACAAATAAGTTCCGGGCAAACAACATTATGAAGAATAATTTTAATGTTATCAATGAGATTGTGATAATGTATTTTTATATGGTTATATGTAATGGATGCAATTTTGCCATGATAGAATTACGTACATTAATAAGGAAAAGTGCCGGGTACTAGGCCGGAAAACTGATGTATATACTTTCATGTTTATAACTGCGGGTTATTGCAAGTGGCACAGCTAGGTAGGGTGATACAGCAAGACATCATGTTGAGTGGTTATAGAGAACTTTTCAATATGTCAAAATATTTTATATGGAGTATAATCTTTTTAGAAAGCCGTTGGTCTTATGGGGATCACCATCACCCTTTGATTCAGGGCTTAACGGTCCAACCTGTTGACACCACGATGTGGTGCAGCCCCTCATGTCCATCCACTGCTCAATAGTGAGGTTCGGCACTGCCGTAGTGAACTGCGGGGATGCCCCATAGGAATCCACATTGACTTGGGGACTCTGCAGTCAAGCAGACCCGGTCCTGACATTTTATGGGTCCGGGACAGTACAGATAAAGTAGGTCATATGAACAACGTCTGAATGTTTATAATTATTTATAAAATAAAACTATACGTAAAATTAATTAGTAAAATTTTTACTTGCAGTATAGAATTTTGAATAGTGAAAGAATTGAAAGTTATATCGTTTGTGGAGCAATATTTTCATATTTTAAATTATGTTTTCACTAGATCAAAACAAACTGTAAGTTTCTAAATTATGAATATTATAATTCAATTTTTCACTTACATGAGAGAATCAAAAGAAATTAGCAGAATGCTATCAATGAATCATGTAATTAATTACATGAGAGAAGTAAATGGAAAGATTAACATTTATGTGTTAACCTTTAATGATTCCAAAGAAATGATGAAGTCTATTCGCATGTAAGGATGTTTTCTTTTGGACTGAAATTTGTTGGTCTGGTCTGATCTGGTCTGGTCTGTTTAAGTCTGGTCTGGTCAAAACTGGTCTGGTCTGGTTTGGTAAACGTCTGGTCTCTGTGTATTTTATAATTATCCAAGTCTGGTCTGGTCTGGTCTGTTTAAGTTTGGCCTGGTCTGGTCTGTTTAAGTCTGATCTGGTCTGGTCTGGTCTGGTCTGATCTGATCTGGGACTGAAAACAGTCCAAAAGAAAACATCCTAATTCTGGTGCGGAGGTTACAAAGTTTTAGACTTGTATCTTGTAGATGTTGTTGAATAAGGAATTAAAAGCATCAAAAAATTTTATAAGTTGTACTTTATTTTATTTTAAATTTTTATAAATAATATATTGTGTGTGTGTGTGTGTGTATATATATATATATATATTTAAAATACATATGTATATACGGAGTATATAATTGAGAAATTTATGGGCTCTAGGGGAGCAATGGGCCCTGGGTGCATGCCCCTTTGCCCATGCCCCAGCACCGGCCATGTAGTCAAGGTATGGTTGCTATTTAATCACAGTACTTTGCAGTCGGGGTAACAAAACTCAATGATGGATGACCCACTGGAAGTTTGTCGAAAGGAGTGAATCGATTCAGCAAAAGCATTTTTTAAATTTGTGGGTTTGACCGAGCTTAGTATGACCCCTAACTACACGTCTACACCCATGGCTATTGTATGCATGTGGTTAATTGGGTAGACGGCCGACCAATGAATTCTTGAAGAAGTTACAACTAAGAAATTCTTCATATATGCCTTAGATAATGGGAAAATACATGAAGAAGAGTATGCATATTTTTTTCTCTAAATATTATAGAAGAAAATTAGTCCTTTTAAATTTATTTTCTTAAGGCTGGGACTCTTATATATATACTTTGAATGACTTTTATTTCTATATAAGTATTATTATTCTTAATTAACAGAACCAAAGAAGAATGACACGTACTACATGTAATAATAATAACAATAATAATAACACCAATAACAATAATACGTAATAAATTAATAATACTCCCTCTGTCCCTAAAAGAAGTTTCATTTCGCTTATCGAGGGTCAACTTAAATCACTCTTAAACTCTTACTTTTTATATCAAAATTTTATAAAAGTTGAATTATTTTTTGCAGGCTTTGTAGCGGGTTTAATGTAGTTTCTGAATATGTAAATTTTATTTACTAAAAATAATCCGAGTTTTCACAGGGATCATTTAACTTTATCGTCGGTCAACCTTCGTAATCCGCAATTGGAACAACATTTAGGGACGGAGGGAGTAATAATTAATGACGGTATATATAGATGTAGTGGAGATACGGCATTCGTTTATACCATTTGAAGTGGCAACTCAGAAGGGTATACTCTCCAAAAAATAAAGCAACCACTGTGTTACTCACTTAGTCACCTCCATGCAGAGATAAACTTAGTGGTGCATCATGCATGGGTCACTGCACTCCTTTACTTTTTAAAAATTAAATTATAAACACCGTATATCATATTTTCTTAATTTATACTCCTTCCGTTCCAAAAAAATTCTTCTGAGTTGAGTATGAGTTAATTTATACAAACCCACAAAATAATGCATGAGTTTGAGTTGACACGGAGAATAAGAAAGTGGAATAAAGTGGAAATGTATGGTTGTGGTTGTGTAAGAAAAAGGTGAAATGAATGTGAACCACACAAACTGTCCAAATATGGTAAGTGGGAATAATTTTTTGAGACGACCCAAAAAGGAAAGTGAGAAGAATTTTATGGGAAGGAGGGAGTAACATTTTAATTAGATATTCAAATATTCGTAGCCTTGATTTTCAAATGCTTTCAACTGTTCCATTTTGATGTTTTATATTACCTCCGACCCGAAAATGTTCGTCATATTGATTTTTCTTGATCAATGATGACAAACTTTGGATAATGATTTTAATTACGGAGTATTATATTTGTAAACAATTTATTAATTTTATATACTTTTATGAAAATATTTTGAATAAGGAACGTTTTGATACAATTTTCATACTCTAATTAAATAATTTCGTATTAAAAAATAAACTTAGTCAAAGTGAATTGTCATTGACCAAGAAGAGTCAATTTGGTGAACCTTTTTGGAACGGAAGGAGTACTACACATTAAATTAATTAAGTAGCTAGTATCCTATATATTTCAAGATATTCAGCTCCTCTACGAGCCGTATTTCAATAATTCAATGTTTACCATTTCGTTTATTATGACGATGGTTGATCCTAAAATACCTCTTTACGACTTTAATTTACTGATAATATATATCTAGTCTCCTCTTAATTCAAGGATCTAGAGTGACTGTCTATACTGTGTGTTAAGACTCGGAGTTCCATCCTAAAAGATCAAACTCAAAATGATACTATGTAACTAAAAAGTGATACTATGTATGTCAACTCAAAATGATACTAGACGATATATAAAAAACTCAAAATGATACTCCGTACTAATTTTAATAACATCTTTTTTATATATAAATTTGGTTTTGTACTTAATAAACCATATAATGTTTAAACCTAAGATCCATATATATTAATTTAAAATAATTCATTTTAATGTAATTTCAATCACACCTTTTCGCACTTAGTATTAAATCAGACTTGCTTATTTGTAACTTAAATTAGTTATAAACTTATAATTAAATATTTCATCTGTTTCTTAAAAAAAATTATTTTATTTTTAATACATTGTGGATTTTTTAATTAATATTTATTTCCTAAAAATTGTGTAATAACATTACTGTAAAATTGCCCCCACTGACCGAATTTTCGAGATACGCCACTGTACACAAATGAATTAAAATGCACTTAAGAATACCTTTTGTGAGTATATTCTAAAGTAATACTCTCTTTGATAATGATAATAGCAAAAGATCAAAGAATAATTGCACCGTAAGTAAAAAGCTAACGTCTTTATTTAGGTATAGCACATTCCACTGCAAAAAACAGGGCCGTAGTCACGGATTCGGTCCGTGACTAGTTTGTCACGGACGTACTAGTCACGGATTAAAAAAAACATAG